CAAGGTATGCAGAAGGAGCACCGAGCTTTCATGCCCTCTCTGGGCATACCAGCCCCCAACACCTCCATGTGTTCACCAATCCAGAAGGTCTTTGAAACCCCTCATTTAGAGGTTTTATGGAGGTTTCATTTGAAGACATGATTGTTTAGGCCATTGACCATTGGTGATGGAACTTAGTCTCCCTGAGGTTGTGACAGTGGGCTGGAAGTTCCAACCATCTGATCACCTGGTTGATTCCCATGGCAGCCAGCCCCTATGCTTAGGTCCTTTCCAAAAGTCACCTCATTTACAAAATTCAGATGTAGTTGAAAGGGGGTTGCTGTGAATAAATAAAGACACTCCTTTCACATTCTTTTACTGTAGAGTTGTCTCAGGAGCCAGGGACAAAAAAAACCCAACATTGTAACAAAAGATGCTCCTATCGCTCTTATCACTTAGGAAATTACAAGGGTTTTAGGAGCTCTGGCCAGAAGCCAGAGATGAAAACCAAATATATATTTATTATTATATCACCATTTTACAGGAAGGGTAAAGCACAGAAGACATGGCATCTATCTTAATGCTTGTTTAATATTAAATAACATGTAGGGCAAAATAATTGTACTTTAATGTGTATAATTATGATTTAAAATAAACCATATGTAGTGAAATACGACTTAATATACTCCTCAAAACAACTTCCCTGAAACCGAAGTGGGAGTAGGTTGCAGATGACTCATCCCAGAAAACCAAAGGCTTAGGATTCAGCTAACATCTGAGAAAAGACTGTCCTCCTTTGGGCAAAATGTGTGTGCTCAGCATCAAGTCTTCTCAAGACGCCTGAGCCCAACCTGCAAAGAGTTAGTAGCATTAAAGAGAAAACCACAGGCTCAAAATGGTGTCACTTGTGCTAAAAACCCATGATAGCAAACCTAGATTTAATTAGACTTGATCTAATTGCAGATTCTATTTCACCCAGAAACATACTCTTAATCAACCAGTCTGGAATTTTCTGCTCAAACACCAGTAAGATATCTGTTCTGGGAGTCTTCTTTATGCCCCATAGAAAGAAGAGGCAATCTGCATGACAAAAACCCTTCCCTTCTTTTCCCCCCAAAGAAAAAGATGTCCTGGTCCAAAAATAATCCTTTCTTTTCTTTTGTTAATTGTTCCCATTCCCCACCCTTTTTCCTACAAAAACTTTCAATTTTGTACAACCCCTCCAAGCACCCTTTCTTTCAGTTGCTTTGTGGGATGCTGCCCAATTCTAAACCCAATTAGGTCTTCAAATTTACTCAGTTAAGTTTTTTGTGTTTTGTTTGTTTGTTTTTTAACAGAGTTCAACTACAAAGTCAGGAGGAAGAGTCCACATATGAGAACTCTCACTTCTGACACCAACTGCAAGTTCGGGAGTTTTCCAAGAGTACCCCCAGGTACAGTAATTCACTAGAAATACTCACAAAATTTAATGAATCCATTATGGTTACATTTATTACAAGGAAAGGATACAAATTAAAAGTAGCCAAAGGAAGAGATGCACAGGGCAAAGTCTGGGAGGATTCCAGATATCAAGTTTCCATTGTCCTCAGGGCACGTTACCCTCTTCTTGTCATTGACATGTAGCAATACACACAGAGTACTGCCAACCCTGAGAGCTTACTTATCTTCAATATCCAGAGGTTTACTGAGGCTTCATTACCTAGGCATGTTGATTTATTGATTGCCCACGTGGTTGAACTTAATCTCTAGGTTAACTAATACTGCATGACCCAAAGCCGATACCTTAAATGATCTTTCCAGTGTGGCCAGACTATTGATATGACTTGCATCACCCTCTAGGTCACCTCATTAGCATAACCTATCAGGTATGTTCTAAGGGCCCCACTAGGAATAGCAAAGGCACTCTGACCACTTGGTAAATTCCAAAGATTTAGAAGTCACCTCCCAGGAGAAGAAAAAAAAGAGTCACCTCTCTTTGAGGAAAGCCAAATTCTTTACTATATATATTGTGCCTGGGTCTGTCACTAAGCTCTACAAATTGACTGCACACAGAGATCTAAAATATTAGAAATTCTGGGAACTGGAACCAAAGAAGTGTTAGGAATAGTAATATATAAATACTATATGTATAAACTAATACAATACATATTCTATATAATTAATAATGAAAATGCTTTTATCCAAAGAGGCCAAAGGTGGAACTCACCTTAGGGAGGGATAGAGCAGGCAACACTCTGGTATCAGCCTGACTGTCCCAGGTCCATAATCAAAGAAGGGACTACAGAACATGTCGCCAAGGGAACAGGACCTATGGACAGCACAAGCCACGCCTACAGTGTTCTGCGATTTGTAGCTCAGTCCTTGCCTCAAGTGATTGTTGTAAAAACCTTAAAATGAAAAGGGGAATGGAGATCTTTAGGGGCTATAACCTATACCATTTCCAGATTTGAGTAAATTATAGAATCTTTTGAGAAGATGGAAAAATAAACTGCTGCAGAATAAATGGACTCTGGGTCTGAAAACTAAGCACCGTTGGGGTGTAAATGATATTTTGACAACAAATGTCTATTTCCTGTAATTTTCTAGGATTTCCAGCAAAGAAGTCATTGATGCCCCTTCTCAATTGTACTGAGGAATTTTATTAGTAACAAGCTTTCTCAATTTCATTATTTCCAAATTCTGATCCCAGGTACCTTAACATAGATGGAAGGGTTAGGGTTTTACCCAGCAAGTTACATGAAGTTATAAAATCATCATAAACAACTCTCTGTTAGCCATCTTCAGAACGAAAATGGCGCTTAGAAATGTTTAGCAGACTGAGGGTTTTCAGAAAGGGACAAGATCAGGAACCCTGGCATACACCAACTCTCAAAAGGAGCAAATACAGAAAGAGATTAGGTATGTAGCCCAAGGCCATAGTGCTGGTTAGTATCTAACAAGTTCTAGAAACTGGTCTTTCTGAAGTTAAAGTTCCTCTCCCTAAACAAGTCATCTCAAAATTTTATATCAGTAGTTCAGTATCAATTTCTCAATAGAAATCCTGCATTAATACACATATGAATAAACTAATCAAATGATTTTCTTACCTTGGGCTCCACACATAAATCTATGAAAGGCAAGATTAGCGTCCTCTTAACCATAGGCTAAAGCACAGTAATTTGCTGCTGTTAATATTTATTTTCCATCTGATAACTAATATAAGGAGATATTAAAACCATGATTCTTCCATGTTTCTAGATTTCCTAAAAATGAATTTCTGTAGAACATTCCATATATCTTCATTTAATCCACTATCAACTTACTTTACAGTCATACTTTTGAAGTAACTTGCCTGCTTTCCTCATTCACACACAAAGCCTGAGAATCCAGAATGTGAAAAACCATGCTAGAAGGCTGCTCCTGGAACACGCTTGCCTGCTTTCCTCATTCACACACAAAGCCTGAGAACCCAGAATGTGAAAAACCATGCCTTTCGAAGGCTGCTCCTGGAACACACTGCATTCAGTGAATAGAATGTTGAAACTAACATGTAAAGGTAAAGCATGCTCTTACCTAAGTGCGTTTCTCTGAGTCCTTACACAGAGGTCTAGTTCAAATGAAAACTATTTCACGAAATTTTTCCCTGCAAACCTGACCTCAGCAATTTCTTCCTACCAGGGCATTCTACAATGTTCAGTTTAAAGACCACATGTTCAACATTGAGCACACCCTGTCTTTAGTTCAGAAACACCAGGTATGCTCTTAGCTCTACCATATCTTCCTACCACTGCTGGGCAGCTGTGACCCTCATACTGACCCCTTTGTTCTCCAAGGTTAGGTGTGTGTATGTATTGCGGACAGCAGAAGAAGAAACTACTGACCCCTTTGTTCTCCAAGGTTAGGTGTGTGTATTGGGGACAGCAGAGGAAGAAATTCCTTATCCCACAGCTCAGCTGAGATACACTGGAATTTTCAAAATGGGCTCTCCAAAATACTAAAGGAAAAACAAAATTGAAAAAGCAACAACAACATGGTAACAAAATCATGGAAACAGTCCTTTGTACAGTGCACATTTTTTAAGCATAACGTAAATTTGGTTTAACCACAAACTGGTTTGGCATACAGACCCTTGGTTCTTGTCCTCACCAACTCTGTCTGCCTCGGATGCCAGAGCCTAATGTGAAGAGTATTCACACGGGAGCCTGTGTGCTGGTCACCTCTCTGGGTCCTGGGCCACTTCCATGCCTCCTCTGATGTCAGATTTCCCTGCCTTGCGTCTGGGTAGCTACACCGGTAGAAAAACCAAGTCCTGAGAAAAACTCCTTTACCCTTTGACAAGTCACCATGGCTTTGGCAACTCTCCACCAACCTCCATCCATAAACTCAAACATTCACTTAGCACATTCTAAGGAAAACCAAACACACAAAAAATATTGCAAGTTCTCTCCGGGCACTCACAGAAAGCTCATGTTCAGAACCCACACTTTAGAGGAGGGATTTTCAACCGGTGCGCCACAAGAATTTTCAAAATATGTAATACCTGACTATTTAGTTAGGGGCACTGACCTCTTTTCCCTTGGATTGTCAAATAAAAAAATGACAACAGCCAACACAATAGCATCCAGTGTTGAATGAATCAAAATTATACTTTTTTTTGTCAGTTAGGCAAAAAATATATTTTTGCGTATGCCGTAGAAGTTTAGTAACTAGTTTATGTGTGCCATGAGATGAAAAGGCCGAAAATCTTTTGACCTCATGGCCTCAGGCATGGAGCACCACTTCCCAGAAGACTCTCCTTAGGTAATTCTCTGCCAGCTTCTCCCCCTGCAGCCCTTGTTCTTCTTCTTTTTTTTTATAGTTGAAAGTATTAGAGATGTCCTATTTGCTTGTTTGTTTGCTTGTTTGTTTTTATTTGTTTGTTTGCTTGTTTTTCCTATTGTCCCCCTCCACCCTGCACCCACCCCTTCCAGGCCTTCATTACTCTATTGTCTGTGGCCATGGGCTATGCATACCTATATATATAAAAGGCTAATATGCTGGACCTTCCCGAGTAGCTGGCTGTGCGGGTCAGGGCTGCCCGAGCTGTTGGTCCTGCAGCGAGATGTTTCAGAGCCTCGTGAGAAATGTGTGGGTCCCCATGAAGCCCTACTACACCCAGGTCTACCAGGAGATCTGGGCGGGCGTGGGGCTGATGAGCCTCATCATCTACAAGATCCGCAGTGTGGATAAAAGAGCTAAAGCTCTGAAAGGTTCAAGTCCCGTGCCTGCTCATGGTCATCACTAGCAGCTGAGCTGAGTTGCACAGCGGAGGAGCGTTGGCTGTAGATGGGGATGAGGGACAGTATCTAGAAGTGCCATGCACCTTGCTGGCATGAATAAACATACCTGTAGACACACACACACACACACACACACACACACACACACACACACACAAAGGCTAATATGCTAAGTGTCCATCCAACTAGTAGCTATGATGCCCACTAACCACCAGGGGCAGATGCTCAATGCAGGAGCTGCCAAGCTGCAGTGACTTGGCAGCAGCGGTTCTCAGGTGACGCACCCCGAAACCAGAGAGGAGGGAGCCCAATTCCTCACAGAGCCGCGCGATTCCACCTTCAGCTGTGGGTTATGTTGTTGCTGGGGCACTGTGGGCCCTGAATCTGGTTTACTACACACTTGCATTTGCATTCCTGTACGACAGCAACTATGCAGAGTGCCCTCTCGCACTCCAGCACCCCTCAGGGGATGTAGGAGAGCCAGTTTCGGCCCGATCCCCGCAGGCCAGGCTGAGGGACCCCACCTGGCAGAGGGACCCCACTCACTCCACAGATGTCCTTTGAGCCACGACGCCACCCCAGGTGTGGCCATACAGGGAGGGACCGCGGGAGGTTGGTTCCAGGGCGTGTCCGGCCTGTCTTGCCCAGTCCCAGCCCCACTGGCCACCTTCTAATTAATTTCCTTTCAATGTGCACGAATCTGTGCACCGGGTCACTAGTATGTATATAAGATTCTGGGACCCCTTGGGGGTTGTTGGAGAGCCGGTTTTGGCCCGATCCCTGCAAGCCAGGCCTAGGAACACCACCTACCAGAGGGACCCCACTCACTCCACAGATGTCCTTTGAGCCACGGCCCTACCCCAGGTGTGGCCAACCAGGGAAGGACCGTGGGAGGTTGGTTCCAGGGCATGTCTGGCCTGTCTTGCCTAGTCCCAGCCCCACTGGCCACCTTCTAATTAATTTCCTTTCAATGTGCACAAATCCATGCACTGGTTCAGTAGTATGTATATAAGATCCCCAGTTAATCATTCCCCACCCATGCCTCCCTCTGAAATTCATCAGTCTGTTCCATACTTCTGGATCTATGTTGTTCATCGGTTTATTTTGTTCATTAGATTCCACATGTGAGTGAGATCATGTGATACTTGTCTTTCTCTGCCTGTGCAGCCCTTGTTCTTTACCCAACACCAACAGCAGCAGGTTTCTTGGGCCACCCACCCCCATCTGGCATGCTCATTCAGTTCCTCTCTGAAAAGAATACTCTAATTTTCTGTTAATTTGCTAATATGCTAAGTGTCCATCCGACTGGTAGCTATGATGCCCACTAACCACCAAGGCAGATGCTCAACGCAGGAGCTGCCAAGCTGCAGTGACTTGGCAGCAGCGGTTCTCGGATGATGCACCCCGAAACCAGAGAGGAGGGAACCCGATTCCTCACAGAGCCGCACGATTCCACCTTCAGCCATGGGTTATATTGTTTCTGGGGCACTGTGGGCCCCGAATTTAGTTTACTACACACTTGCATTTGCGTTCCTGTATGACAGCAACTATGCGGAGTGCCCTCTCGCACTCTGGCACCCATCAGGGGATGTAGGAGAGCCAGTTTTGGCCCAATCCCCGCAGGCCAGGCCAAGGGACCCCACCTGCCAGAGGGACCCCACTCACTCCACAGATGTCCTTTGAGCCACGGCCCTACCCCAGGTGTGGCCAACCAGGGAAGGACCGTGGGAGGTTGGTTCCAGGGCATGTCTGGCCTGTCTTGCCTAGTCCCAGCCCCACTGGCCACCTTCTAATTAATTTCCTTTCAATGTGCACAAATCCATGCACTGGTTCAGTAGTATGTATATAAGATCCCCAGTTAATCATTCCCCACCCATGCCTCCCTCTGAAATTCATCAGTCTGTTCCATACTTCTGGATCTATGTTGTTCATCGGTTTATTTTGTTCATTAGATTCCACATGTGAGTGAGATCATGTGATACTTGTCTTTCTCTGCCTGTGCAGCCCTTGTTCTTTACCCAACACCAACAGCAGCAGGTTTCTTGGGCCACCCACCCCCATCTGGCATGCTCATTCAGTTCCTCTCTGAAAAGAATACTCTAATTTTCTGTTAATTTGAAAAGTAGAGAAGATTGACATCCTCCAGCCCCTCCAAAAGAGGCTGACAGCCGGAACCGGTTTGGCTCAGTGGATAGAGCATCAGCCTGTGGACTGAACGGTCCCAGGTTCAATTCCGCTCAAGGGCATGTACCTAGGTTTCGGACACATCCCCAGTAGGGGATGTGCAGGAGGCAGCTGATCGATATTTCTCTCTAATCGATGTTTCTAACTCTCTATCTCTCTCCCTTCCTCTCTGTGAAAAATCAATAAAATATATTTTTTTTTAAAAAAAAGAGGCTGACAATTTGTCCTTTTCTCAGATCCTTCAAGTGGCCTCCCTCACATTTACAATAAGGCAATGTTGAAATGCACTTATAAAACAATGCACATCTACTAAGAAAAGTCCACTCTCTGAGGCTTTGTATTGCTCTTTAATTATTAATCAAGTCAAATTACTTGAGATATTAACTTTTTTGCTCAATATACATCCACTTTCTCTTCCCTCCTTTTAAAGAAGACAGCGGGCAGCCTCTGTGATTCTTTGGTTCAGGGGAGGCAGACCATGGAGTAGCTTAAAGGTCTTATTTTGAAATTTCAAAAGCCAAAACCCAATGGAGAACTTAGAGAGTTCACAAACATCAACACAGTAGCTTTAAGAAGCAGGATGGGAAAATGATTCACCCAGACTAAGAATGCATGTGGGGCAAGAAGAGTGAGGCAACATCTGCAATTCTTCAGGGCACACAGGTCCCTGCGGGCACCTGAAGAACCTCATGAACTCAACAGTATTGCTTGTGGGTAGATTTCACAGATGGGCATAGGCAGCCTTGAAGAAGCTCCCAGTGCCCCACACATGACAAAAGAGCATCACAGAATCTGAGGGGACCATGCAGAGTAGGACCTCAATTTCTTACCATTAACTTATATGAACCAATAACTGCTCCCAGAGTCCACCCCAGCTTCGCATGCACAAGCCCCTAGAGCTGTATGTATCACAGCGCTGGTCCAGATTATCTTCCATATTCCTACTCCTGTAAGGATGTCCCCTCCCTCTGAACCCTAGCTGATGATCTACTGTGCGTGATTGTATCTCTTAGCCCTCCTCTCTATTTTCAGAAAAATGTCAAGTACATCATTTTTGTCACTGGATTCCACTTAGGGACGTCCCTAGAGGACATTAAAACTAGAAGATTGAGAAAGGTCCTGGGCTTGGAGGAGTTTGTCCTTTTCTCAGATCCTTCAAGTGGCCTCCCTCACATTTACAATAAGGCAATGTTGAAATGCACTTATAAAACAATGCACATCTACTAAGAAAAGTCCACTCTCTGAGGCTTTGTATTGCTCTTTAATTATTAATCAAGTCAAATTACTTGAGATATTAACTTTTTTGCTCAATATACATCCACTTTCTCTTCCCTCCTTTTAAAGAAGACAGCGGGCAGCCTCTGTGATTCTTTGGTTCAGGGGAGGCAGACCATGGAGCAGCTTAAAGGTCCTATTTTGAAATTTCAAAAGCCAAAACCCAATGGAGAACTTAGAGAGTTCACAAACATCAACACAGTAGCTTTAAGAAGCAGGATGGGAAAATGATTCACCCAGACTAAGAATGCATGTGGGGCAAGAAGAGTGAGGCAACATCTGCAATTCTTCAGGGCACACAGGTCTCTGCAGGCACCTGCAAAACCTCATGAACTCAACAGTGTTGCCTGTGGGCAGATGTCACAGATGGGCACAAGCAGCCTTGAAGAAGTTCTCAGTGCCCCACACATGACAAAAGAGCATCACAGAATCTGAGGGGACCATGCAGAGTAGGACCTCAATTTCTTACCATTAACTTATATGAACCAATAACTGCTCCCAGAGTCCACCCCAGCTTCGCATGCACAAGCCCCTACAGCTGTATGTAGCACAGCGCTGGTCCAGATTATCTTCCGTATTCCTACTCCTATAAGGATGCCCCCTCCCTCTGAACCCTAGCTGATGATCTACTGTGTGTGATTGTATCTCTTAGCCATCCTCTCTATTTTCAGAAAAATGTCAAGTACATCATTTTTGTCACTGGATTCCACTCAGGGACGTCCCTAGAGGACATTAAAACTAGAAGATTGAGAAAGGTCCTGGGCTTGGAGGAGAATATGCGACTTTGCCAGATGGTGAAAAATAAAAGCCCGAATTGTTACACAACCTCTTCAATAGGGATCGAGTGCATAGACCCATCCTGCTTTTACTGGAATCACTTTGTCTTCAGATGCTTGCTGGTTTTTGTTTGTTTGTTTGTTTGTTTGTTTAACTACTTTCTTCTCTCAAGGCTTCATTTTAACCTGATTTAACCAGTATGAAAGGTTAGATAACCTATACACATCTGAGAAGGTAAAAAACCAAAGAGCCATGAATTGGGGTTTCTGCTCCTTCACTTTTTCTCTTTTCCCCTCTCTTCTTGGGTGTTACTATAAGCAAGTTTCCCCAAATCTTCCAGTCTTCCTTTGCTTTAATATCTATACAAAATAACAAGAACCCAGATGTGGTTGGGGAAAAGATGAATAGGCAGAGCACAAAGGATTTTTAGGGCAGTGAAAATACTATGTAGGATATTAGAATGATGGATATATGGCATTATACCTTTGTCTAAACCCATAGAATCTACCACACCAAAAGCGAACATAATGTAAACTATGGATTTGGGGGTGATTGTGATATGTCAACGTAAGTTCGTTTGGTTAAAAAAAAAATCCTATTTTGGTGAGTGATGCTGATAATGGGGGAAGCTATGCATGTTTGGGGTCGGGGGCAAATGAGAAATCTCTGTACCTACCTTGCTATAAACCTAAAACTGCTCTGAAAAAAATAAAGTATTTTAAAAATAATAAAAAAAATAAATTATAAGAGCCCCCATGAGCACACTACAGTGGAAAATACAACATCTCCATAATATTCCTTAGACTATT